TGTGAGCAAGCTAAGTGGTGACCTTCATCTTGTATCTCTCTCCCTCTCTCAAAAACAAGCTGTCATACAAATTTCAATACTTTCCCTTTAGAGCAGCAGCCAGACAGGAGAAACTGCCTGGAGGGCTTAGCACTACTGTTCATATGTAAGTGTTTGTAAACACACTTTATCTGAGAGAATTCTGGACTTGTCTTTGGACATCCTGACTGAATGAATACCTCAGATGCTCTGGGCTGCAGCTCACTGTTTTACAACTACTGAGTCTGATCTTCACAAGGGCATGGAATATTGTCTCTCCATGAATTTAGTATATAGTCATTAATTCCTAAGGTAAGACTCGCAATTTTAAGCTCTAAACAAAATTCCTCCTCTCTATATGCACACACCAGTTGTACATCACTCCCAGGAATCACATACAAGTATCATATGGCTGAATTCATCCGCCAGTCTCTAAAACTGATTCTATCTGGGATTTACCGCCTTTAGGAGAAGCTCTTTTAATTTTCTACAAGCTTTTTCATCTCACTCTCCTTAACATACAGAACTTCCTCACTGAGGTTTCAATCAGTTTTGTGCAAAGAAAAGTACCAATTGCTACTGCAGCACGGTCAACCTGCACAGTACAGAACAATGAGGGTGAATTTTTTTCATCTTTTCCATTAACATCTGAACAACCCTTTCTAGGGGTAACTCATTTATTCACAATGGTTATTGTAACTATTTCCTTGATCCCAGGTTTTTTACATATTAGTCACTTTTAGTAATATGTGAGACAGCCAGGGCAGGACACAGTTACCTTAACAGGGATGCCACGCGCTATTTGAGACAGACAAGAAAAACCAAGGTATCTGCATCAGGCACCAGATATGACGTGTGTCCCACTGGACAACAGAATGCTGCTGGAACAGCAACTAGAGACCAGGTAGGATACCCTGAAGAACCTAACATGACTGCGAGACCTGCACCCTACCTTCAAATACAGCGTGGTGCATCACCATTGGTGGAGAAATTCCAGTGACTTTGGCTTTGAATAGGAACTGTGCAGCATTACAGTATCCTTTCCACACAGATAGGCAAGGGAGAGAGGGGCAATATAAGTAATCCCATGCCTGCCAGCCCTCCTCTGCAAGACGCAACCAGAATTGACTTATTTGGATAAAATGACAATAAGAATAAAGTGTGTAAATCAGTAATTCAAACCCACCGTGGTACAGATGGATAGTTTGTGGGAATGCACCACACACTCTCTATGCACCTGAAAGTACATGAAGGCCAATGGCGAGCATACATGTTGCAAAAACCAAAATGTAGAAACCAGTTCAGGCACCATACTTCCACCCTCCCCAATGCCTGCAGCCCCCATGTTTCAAGAAAAAGAGCTTATAGCTTTTATATAAAGTAATTGTGAACTGTATAAAGTCTCCATTTAAATTCCCGCCCCAGAGATTTGCACAGCAGTACTGTGAAAAGTAGTAATTATATAGAAGCTTTTTAGTATGCAATGGTATGCAGCACTTCTCTTTTTAAACTGAACAACCAAAGTAGTATCATAAATGTTGTATTTAAATAGTAGCTCAAACCGCATCATTTTGAAAACAATAACCAAGCACATGCTTTGCAGGAGCACAGAATTAGAAATTATTTCACAGACAAGGATAAAAGGTTTGCAAGAATTGTGATCAACCTACAGAGAAATAGTTTATACAGGCTGTACTTGAAGGTACGCTCACAGTTCCAATATAATTAACTGTTTTCAGAGATTTATAGTTTTGCTGTATGCATTTGCTTAAATATTAATTCTCCTGCCTAGCATTTAAAGCACAATGGATTATTCAAATAAAAATGGCTGAATGCCCCATTCATAGTAAAAATGCTTACAGACATGCAACTTATTGAAAGAGAACACGGGCTTCTATTTGATACTTCTGACTATTAATGTATTTTTGATTATAAAAACAAGAGATCAAATTAGTCCTTTTTCAACAAGCAAAAACAGAAGCAACATAATGCATTCCTAATACTGTGTATTTTACCTCAGTCAATTTTTAATTTTTCTTAAACTAAAATTATGAAATTTTAGAAAGTAGATGACTGGGTGACTGGAAAGAAAGACAACATTTTGATAAATATATAGTGACCACATAATCATTTTCAACCTTTCATAGGTTGAAACCTTTTCCCCATGAAACTTCTCTAATTCTGTAACAAATTTACTCAGATATTAACAAGAAGCAGAAGGAAAACTAAGTTCAACAGTTTGAACATTGAAGAAGCCTCCAGAGGTTGTAACTGACAAATATCAATTCGTGCACTTGCACTGAAACTAACTTTGCATACATATATCATTATCCTTAAACACATGTAGTTGTTAGTATTGTCCTCATGCAAAGCCAATTCCGATACCCCACACCAACTTTAACAGTCTCCAGACTTTGCACGTAAACTTGCTCACAAGCTTTTACAAGACCAGATCCTCAGTCTGTAAAGATGACAGAAAATCAAATCCTATGATGAGTCTGTTTAGTTGGTTTACTCAGCTTTACCTAGCACTACTAGAAGCAAGGCAATACACCTAAAAGAACCCATCCATCAGACATTAAGGAAAACTTGTGGGATTTAACAACAAAGTGGACACATAAGGAAGGTCCAAACAGAGAGAAAGACAGGAAAACTCTGCCTGTACTCTTAAGAGGAGTCTAACACAATGGGAAGGATTTGGACCGAGGCTTGGATATCCCAGAAAAAAATCTCAATAGAATTAATTAGCCCCTTAATGTGAAATCAAGAGATGCAACATTCAATCACCTGACCTAAGATTTCCATTACCAAAATACAGGACTGAGGATGACTGGGGAGCAGGGGTCTCCCTCGTTTGACAGGATGAGGAAGGTAGACAGGCTGCTCCATTCTAGTTAATTCACAATTCATATGTTACATATTTATGTTCTAAACCAGAGATCATAAAGATGTGAACTGTAGACTTCTTTTTAGTTAACTCTGGACTTTCTTCCTGTTGGGGGGGGCAGGGAATAACCCCGGCTCTCACAGTATCTAGTGATCACGGGTGTTATTTAAACCTCCAACCCCTGTGATACTTTGAGATGGCTGCCTTGGTTTCACAAAACACCGATCCTCTGCCCACCTCTCTGGGCCAACCAGATGCCCAGTGCTTGCAGATGAATATTAATCAACACAGGCATCAGAACTCTGTGCTGTCACCTGAGGATCTCAGCTGAGTATTGCATTTGGGCGCTGATGTCCTGACGCTACCCAAACTTCCCTCTCTTTCTTACGAGCCATCTGCCAGGGTGACCAGAGTCCTTCCCAGGCTTAAAAGGAGGGAATGTTTGGCAGCAGCGAGTAGCGTCAGCACAAGTGAGATTCCACCAGCTCCCCAACCTCAAGAAACAGGCGTCGCTTACGCACCGCATCCTACAACTTCTCCCTCACGCGTCTCCCTACCCCGAGGACCCTGTTCAGTGCAGGCGAGGGAAGCCGCTACGACCCGAGCCGCGAGTCCCCTCGCCCGCGCACAGCAGCAGCCCGAGGACGGGGACACGCGGGGACCAAATCTGCCTGCTGCAACCAGAAGAAAGTTCGTGCCGACACAACACCCCAGTAAACCACGCGGTGGGGGGGCGGCTTCTGAGAGAAGCGCTGGTAGGGGAGAGTCCTAATAAAGCCGTAAGATCTCACCCACGCACTATCTCCTACATCAGCACTTCCCAAATCACCGACGAGAACGCACGGAAAGATCGAGGGAAGGGACCGAAACGGGAGGCTGGAGAGAGACTGCCTCCCCCCGGCTCGCCCTGGGTGCCCGGGCAGTTCCGGAGGAGCAGGGAAGGGGGCTCCTTCCCTTGCAGCCCGAGGGCGCAGAGGAAGCTCCTTGCCCCGCAGCAGCAGCAGCGCCAGGAACAAACGGGGCGGGGGGGGGGCTGTCTCTTAT